CTCGCTCGCACTCACTCACTCACTCACTCACTCTCTCACACACACACACACACACACACACACACACACACAATAGAAGTGGAACCTGAAGGCTTGTTTTGGAGTGTCCTTCACACAAAATAGATAAAGGCTACATAAGTGTGTTATAGCTGAACCCTACTCTAAACACCAATCATGTGCATCTCAGTCTAAAATGTTTCATTTTTGTTTTTGAATGTATCAGATTTTGTTGGAAAACATGTGTTAAACAGTTTGTGTGTGTGTGTGTGTGTGTGCGCAGTGTGGGACGAACAGAACGTTCTGCATTACAGGCTCTGAGGATGCAGCTGTTCGCACACAAATCTGCCGTGATCCGAGAGTTTCAGGAATACGACCCACAGCGCACAGCTACCGAACACACACACACACACACACACACACACACACACACTTCAGAAGAGCAATTCCCAGCATTGTTCTCCCTAATCAAACCTGAATCAGCTGACCAGGATTGTGTTTCCCAAAAGCATCGTTAGCTAGCTATGGTCACAAGTTCCATTGAACTCTATTGGTAATGACAGAACTTACTACCATAGTTGCTTTTGGGAAACACTCCCCAGGGCTGCACTTCTCAAACGCATCTTGAGCTAGGTTGATCTCAGAGACCATTAGTGGCAATGGTTATACAATACACTTATGATGCTTTTGGGAAACACAGCCCAGATCATCAGTAGAAGACCTGAGACCTGAAATGGGTTAGTTAGGGTTAGTGATGTAAAAGAGATGTTCAGAATGAGCGTATATGTTCATGTTTAGCACTGGATGTGTGTGCGGTCTCAGGTGTGATCTCTGTGAAGCACTGGGCCCTGGAGGGTCCTGAGGTCTCCGCTGGTGACCAGCAGCGCTCAGGACGGGACGCCCGAGTGAGCGCAGGACCGTCAGAGCCAACAAACTGACCGGAAACACGTCTGAATAGCTATGTTTCCATCCAAAGATGTGAATATAACTTATTCACAAAACTGCAATATCGCATAAAACGTGCGAATAAAGCACAGTTTCCATCCAACGAGTCAAAGAGAACAAAATCGTCACTTCCTGATAAACCGGCACTAAACACCACTAAGACAAGTGGAAGAAGCCACTAAATATAATAATTTCCATATATTATAAATTAGTTGCGCATCAGAGCGAGCATACGAAACAATAAATGCGGTTAATGCTTTCAGAGGTGGATGCTGCTGTTTGGGAACGCAGTCGTGTAAAACAATTACACAGAAATACTTTGACGACAGACTTTCCTCAGGCGTCTAAGAATGATCAGAACATTTCAGATGCTGTGAATGAGATCATCCGCTGGTTAGTCGAGTTATCCCGTCTCGTCACGCAATGTCACATCACTTTTGATGCGCATGGCAGAATTTATTCGGTAAATGTGTTTACATTGTAGTTTATGCACATTTTTTCTTATCAGATAAAAAGTTTGTCCTACTCGATGGTGTGCATAAGTTGTTTTATGCGATATTCCAAAATGTGCATAAAAATAGGTGGATGGAAGCATAGCTGCTGTTTGCTTGGGTTTTACTCTAGTAAAGACAATGGCATTTTCAGTGCTTTAACTCTCATGAACACTCATTAAATCAAACCCATGAAATTCATACAGTGAAGCTTTATTAATCAATCACAGACACAGTAAAACATTCCAGCTGAACAAAGGCACACATTCACACGTGCAAGTAAAAATAAATGTTCCGCTCCAACACAAAGTGATCGGTGTCACCATCCGCTGTTTCTGTCTCATTTCTTTCTCACGTTCAGATGTTAGAGAGGGATCTGTTCAGAAGGAGAAGTGCGCTCTCTGACCTGTGTCAGCTGAGTTTGCTGCTGCGTCCGTGAACGCTGTCGTGAAGCCCGTCTTCTATCGTCTTGATGTCGTCCAGATCGTCTTTAATGACGCTGATCAGGTGACTCAAACCCTCCTGCTGGTGCTTCAGATGCTGAAAACAAAACACATCCTTCAGTTAAAGACAAACCGAACAGAGCAGTTTTATTCTCTGTGGTTCAAAATAAAGCCACTGATAAACAGAGTTCATAAGGCTGGGTGACATCAGTCGTAACTCTCCATACAGCGCGGCAGGAATCAAATACACCTTCATTAGCTGAACACCATATTTTTGAGGTTTGATCCCCGGGAATCAAACCATGACCTTGGTGTGGCTAGCATGATCTACTGTTGTTCAGTTACACTTATTATCAGTTGTTGTTTGATCATGAATTACAAACGAACGACTCGACTCTTCATGACACAGACGACTGCATCCCATTAAAGACACTCAGCTGTTCTTTACTCGAGTAGTTATCATCTGTCTAGTTGTGTCATTGGTGACTGTTTAGATGCGCACCAGACAGACACGCTCACGTTCACTATTACAGCTTCTTCAGATCAGGAGTCTCCGGACACACACACACACACACACACACACACACACACACTCACTCAC